CCCACTTAAAGAGGAGGAAAGTGAGGCTCAGATCACGTCACTTGCCCAAGGTCGTGGACCTAGAAGTCAACCATGTTGGTCTAATTGAGCTGGTCTGACTTCAAAACCTGACTTAACTAGTATACTCCAGTCTTTTTCTAGCATCTGGTTTCAGCTGGTTTCACACACAGGAACTTCTGTTCTCTGACCAGAGATCATTCCCCCGTCTTGGCAGGCTGCAGAAATGTGACTGGGCAAGAGATGTGAATGGCTGAGGGCAACCCACTCCTGCTGCCTAGAGCCAAAACCTTAATTCTGCTGATGGGCAGTCGGGACATCCTTGGATCAAAACGACCAACAGTTTGGGCTGAAAAGATCCTGTTGGGGCATCATATGTGAGGAAGTGAGACCATTAAAGGTAGAGAGTCCTGTTACCAGTATTTCACATCAAGTCATTGTCCAGCCACCACCTAGCCCATGGACCTTTGGTCCAAGTTCACTGACCTAAAACCTTTTGGTCACTTACCTCAGAGGGAACACCTTCCAAATTAAACCCAACTTTTCCTGTTTAAAGATCAGGAGCTGTTTTTTTTCTTGCAGCCCCGGGGCTTGTTCCCTTTGTCATCGGTGTAGTCTTTGTTCTGAGCCAAGGAAAGGGGCCAGTGGAGGGATTTCTTGTCAGAATTACTTTCTCGTGCATTTTCCAGCACTATTCACAGGCCCTGGCACCTTAAGGACTTCAGCTGAACTGACGCAACGCAGCCTAAGTTTTCCTTGCTTGGTTCATCCAGACTAAACGTTCACGATTGTGTTAGGGCTCCCCCCACATCACTAACCAAATAAATCTGTACTTTAAGAGGCCTGTGATACTTGGGAATCATCCCCATGGAAAGCCAGCTCTTCTCACCTCGTTCCACAGCTCGGTTTCAACCCAGGCGTCAACTGAGAAAGAAAATGACCATAAATCACCCAAGGAAAACATGAGTCATGGGCAGATTCTAGCCACATCTTTGATAGGGTCTTGATTTTATTCTTCCCAGGAGTACATCATTCACGTCGACCCCGTGAGTCAGCTGGGGCTGAATTCAGATAGCGTTCTGGGCTACAGCATTGGGGAAATCAAGCGCAGCCACACCTCGGAGACCCCCGAGCTTCTTCCCTGTGGCTATCTGGTCGGAGAGAACACGACCATCTCCGTGACTGTCAAAGGTAACTCGGCCGATTGTGGAGGTCGGAGTTTTCAAGAATTGAGCTTTTGTCTTGTGACTTGGCAAAACATGGTTGGAAATCATGGCCACAGTTTTGTTTGCACATGTGTGGGGGGTGGGGTTGGTTTCTCCTCCCCCACCCCCGCCCCACTGCAACCGCAGTCATTCTTACCTAAGCAAGTTGAACGGTTTTTTAGCTTTTTCAACCACCACCGGAAACAAACAATTTTAGTTTATTGCCGAAATTATATAACAAAACGTCCCATTAGCCTTCTGACTCTAAGATGATGGAATCTTAATAACCCTGCTGAAGTGGGGCTCCACCAATACCAGTGGACTCCTCTTGCCAGCTAGCCTTGGACATGGTCCCATTCTATGGATGGGAGCCACAATCTGCTCTAGAGGCATTGCTCAGAGCACTCTGATGAAATTTCTGAAGCTCTTGCCCACACACAGTGCTGCTGGTGCTTCCGATTGCCTCATCACCTCGGATGTTAAGCCCCAGGCCAAAGTGTATTCCGTGGAACTCTAGGCCCACAAAGTATCTTGTGGGGGAAAAAACAGTGTCGTGGCCAAATAAGTCTAGAATACTACATCATTATACCCATTTGGATGTAGGGGCAGAAAGAGAAGAATGTGCTGGTGCACTGACTCTATAATTTAATACACTAACTCTTGCCGTTAAAAAGGCTGTTTGATCCAGTCTGACACCAATGTATTTGAGTGCAACCCCCTTTTTTCCCTGTATTTTATGAACCCACAAAGAATAGATTAATAAACAGTATATGAGGCTCAGCATTCAGGGTGTCCCATTTCTTAATTCCCTGGAAGGCACAGCTCTTGACTGGAGTTTTAACAGTGCACTTTTGGGGTGGTTTGATGCAAGCTTTGTTTCCCGGTTGCAAGGTTTTCCAGAAGCACCTCACCATTCCTTATCAGCAAAAATCTATATGCTTGCTCTGACGATGGCGAGCTGTCTGTTACTACTCCTTGAGCCTCACCCACAACCTTCTTATCTGGCTAGCAAGCAAAATTGCACAAATGTGGTCTCAGGCTGTAAGTGACAGAAACCTACCCCAAACTAGCTTTATCAAAAAAGGAAATGCACCTGGAAAATCCTGGAATACGCTTCAAACACTGCTGGGTCCAGGTATCCCAAGAGTGCCATCAGAACCAGACCCGCCTCAGCCTTGCGTATTATCTGAGTTCTCTGCATGTGGCTGCTAAAATGGCCCTGGTAGCCCTGATAAATCCTTCTGGCTTGGGATTCACCAAGAAAGAGAATGTCCTTCTGGAAAGGTATGACAGAAAATCCTTACAGGTGATTCTGGCCCACCTGGGTCAAATGGCCATCACCGAACCAGTTATTATGACCAGGGAGATGGTTTGGCCCAGACTGGCCCCACGTTCGCCCCTTGGTGGCTGAAGGTGCTGGGTCGGCCCCTCTTGAACCACCTTGAACAAGCCCCCCATGAGAAAGACGAGTCCTGCTATAAGGGGCAGGAGGAGGGGGGACCAGGCACACTGATACAACGCTTCAAGGAAAGCCTCTTATGTCACCGGTTCAAGCCGTGTCTCATCCACGCTGGTGAGTGCACGTCGTCACTTGTAGGCGACAGCTACAGGCATTGAGGGGCGAAAGAAGTGATCCACTGCAGGGACCAGACCTTTGCACAGATGGTGACAAGGCGGTCTGCCGCAGTGGAACGTGCCACTCCACCACGGAGCCCGGCCTGCCACTGTCAGCACACCAGGTTGTTCAGCATCTCGAGGCATCAGCTCAGGTTTATTTACTTAATTTACTTTTATTTTTTAGAGAGAGAGTATGAACAAAGGAGAGAGGCAGAAGGAGAGAGAGAGAGAGAGAGAGAGAATATCAAGCAGGCTTCATGCTCAGAGCAGAGCCCGATGTGGGGCCCAATCCTACAACCCTGGGATCATGACCTGAGCCAAAATCAAGAGTCAGACGTTCACCCGACTGAGCCACCCAGGTGCCCCAGCTCAGGTTTATTTTTAAGTGACACCTGACTCTTCTGTTTTCTGGTAGTGCTTGAAACTTACGCCTTCAAGGCATGATAAACCACGCAAGGGTTTGAGCCAAGAGGTCCGTGGGCTGTGGATGGTCCACCTAAGTGGTACCAGAGGCAGGGATGTGACTGAGCATGCCTGAAGTGAGTTCATCTGCAGAAGAGTCACTCCCAGGGGGTTTTAGGGCAAAAGACCAAAAGAGCAGCCTATATGTAGAGAGAGTTGTTTTTGTGGGTTTTTTGTCCCTTACTATTAAGTTTAGACGAGAGACCTTACACTCTGCACTTCGCATCAAGTTTGAGCCAGTATAGATTACACTGAACTCAGTACCAGGAAAGTCTCGGGCCTATACCCAGAAGCCAAGTCATTCAGGAACCTCCACCTTGGTCATTCTGGAATAGTCCCTCGCATTTAGGGACTGTTCTCGGTTAGGGGAGGATTAGAGACAAGCATATAAATGCATTTGAGGGGTCTGTTTGCAGTGAATTATGTGGAAGGAAGATGCTATTATAAAATCGAGTAAATGGGGGAACCTGCCTGGCTCAGTCGGTAGAGCATGTAACTCTTGTCACAGGTTGTGAGTTCAAGCCCCACACTGAGTGTAGAGATTACTTAAAAATAAAATCTTTAGGGGCGCCTGGGTGGCGCAGTCGGTTAAGCGTCCGACTTCAGCCAGGTCACGATCTCGCTGGTCCGAGTTCTGTTCCCGTCAGGCTCTGGGCTGATGGCTCAGAGCCTGGAGCCTGTCGATTCTGTGTCTCCCTCTCTGCCCCTCCCCCGTTCATGCTCTGTCTCTCTGTCCCAAAAAAATAAATAAACGTTGAAAAAAAATTTTTTTTTTAAAAATAAAATCTTTAAAAAATAAGAAAGAATAAATGCTCTTCTTTTTTTTTTCACATATGTATACTGGTTTTCTTGAGGTGAGTTTTAACAGAATTGCCTTAGGTTTCAGACAGGTAACCTTGGATGGACCTTCTTTTGAGAATGGTATCAAGACAATAACTCTTTTTAAAAAGCCAACAGCGGGGCACCTGGGTGGCTCAGTCAGTTAGGTGGCTGACTTCGGCTCAGGTCATGATCTCGCGGTCCGTGAGTTCACCGAGCAGCGTCGGGCTATGTGCTGACAGCTCAGAGCCTGGAGCCTGTTTCAATTCTGTGTCTCTCTCTGACCTCCCGTTCATGCTCTGTCTCTCTGTCTCAAAAATAAATAAACGTTAAAAAAAAAAAAAAATTATAAAAAAAAAAAGCCAACAGCCCTGATTGGTGGAGATGTCTCAGGTAGGAGAAGGGAAGAATGCATTTCCTCTTGACTTTGAGACTCAGAGGTCTTAGCATCGTAGCCTTTGCCTGCCGATCATCATATCCCCGAATCAAATTGCATTTCTTTGTTTTAAAGATGAAAGCGTTGCTGCCTGTGTGGCGTATGTGAGTGTGGGCAGCAGTGGCACGTGGGAGCAAACAGGGTGACAGGGCAACCCCTGGGGTCCTGGCAGACACGGGAGACCCAGGTTTGGTTTGGGCAAACCCCAGTGGGTAAATCCAGACAGCCAAGCAGAGCCCAGTCTTAGGAACTCTGCAGAGGACAGACGGGGGCCCAAGGGCCCGGTGTTAAAGTTGAGTCTGCGTCCAGCCAGGGGCTGGAGCACGTGGTACTCGTGATCAGGGAGCAACGGCCACTTGTGCCCAGCCTGCCACGTACCTGGGTGGGCAGCGGTCTCCAGACGAGTGGCCGCCACAGAAAAAGATAGGCTGTCCCAGGTGGCAAGTGCAGAGCTTCCCCGGGGCTTCAGACGCTTCCCGTCCCTCTCCCCAACGCAGGGCTCGCGGAGAACAGCCTGGACTCGCTGGTGTTCGAATCCCTGATCCCCAAGCCCATCCTGCAGCGCTACGTCTCCCTGCTGGTGGAGCACCGGCGGATCATCCTCTCCGGCCCCAGCGGCACCGGGAAAACCTACCTGGCCAACCGGCTGTCCGAGTACCTGGTGCTTCGGGAGGGACGGGAGCTGACAGACGGCGTCATCGCCACCTTCAACGTGGACCACAAGTCCAGCAAGGTGAGGCGGTCATCCAGAGGCTGCTGTTTGGCCCCTTCAGAACTGTTGATGCAGAGCGCCTAGATGGCTCGGTCGATTAGGCGTCCGACTTCGGCTCAGGTCGTGATCTCACAGTTCATGGGTTCGAGCCCCGCATCGGGCTCTGTGCTGACAGGAGCCTGGAGCCTGCTTCTGATTCTGTCTCTCTCTCTCTCTCTGCTCTTCTCCTGCTTGTGCTCTGTCTCTCTCAAAACGAAATAAACATTAAAAAAAAAAGAAAAAAAGAACTGTTAATGTCACTGCCACCCTGATGGGAAATCAGCATTTCCTCTGTGTTCTCCCTTGGTGGTTATGAAAGCCTGGTGAAGGAAGTCACGGTGGGGGAGCAGAAAGGAAGGCTTTCATCCACAGCTTCAGTGAAAAGCGCCATCTGTAAGGCGAGCTGGCTCATTCCTCACTCGTCCGCTATGAGCCGCGTATGAAGCTCAGTGTTAGTAGGTCTTTAGGTTCGCCCCCAATGCATCTATTGTAGTTTACCAAGAACTTGTCACGTGCCATCTCGGTGCTGTCGTCTGTCCCAAATGTAACCTCTTCAGGAACAGCGATGACACTAATAATAACAACAGCTCACATCACACACTGCTTGCCATGACCAGCAAACTGACTGCCTTACAGCAATATTCTCACGGGAGAGGTTGTTGTTACCTTGGTATCACAGAAGAGGAACCTGAGGCTTGAGGCAAGTGGCCATGTGCCTAGGACCCCTTGAATGGTACAGGGCAGTGGACTAGGGCTCAAGTCGGAGTCTTAGACTCTAGAGCTAGCAGATGGGCTCAATCCTGCTTCATGGGGACCAGTGGAGACGTTTAGACCTAGGCCCGGGCGAGGGTTGGGAAATGTTTTCTCAAACTTGATCACTGTTCAACACAGTGGGAGGTGATGGATGGTTCGCTCTGGCTGGCCCTGAGTCAAAGGTGATTGGGAAATGACTCTTCTGCCTTGAATCACCTGGCATGCTCAAAGATGTAGATTCCTAGACCTCATTCCCAGATGATTGCTTTCAGTAGGTTGAATGGGAACCAACTGGCCAGGAAATTGTGCCAGCTCAGTCTCTTCCTCCTCCTCTTCCTCCCCTGACACACATCCCTAACCCTAGCCATGCTGGGCTGCATACCAGCTCCAGATCAAGCCAATCCCCCTTGTGTTCTCCACAGTTCAGTTCAGAGCTTACCCCTTCCACCAGATATCCCGGGGCTTCCTGTGCATGTAGACCCCCTGCCCCTGCACTGTTGGTTTTCTGTCTGTGATGGCACCAGTCAGCAGTGCTTACCTCTGTGTGGGGATGGCTCCTTTGCTGTATTGATTCATCGAGGGCTTCTGTGTAAACAGGTCTCAGGCAAGTGCGAGCTTACTGGAGGGGGAGCATGATATGCAATATCAAGAAGAATGACAATACTTCTAGAAAAGTGTCAGAGCAGAGACATAAAACTATGCTTGGGCACCCCATGGTGCTGTGCTCCTGCCCCAGGCGGAAGGAGTTCTGTTACCTGGTGAATTCCAGGAGTCTGGACCCAGGCCTTCCCCACCCCCTGCCCAGCCCAGCGCTGTGCAGTAGATGGGCACGCAACACTTGTTCACCACACGGCCTCCTGAAAGGCCTTTGCACCTGCGTTGACCCGGGCAAAGTGAAGGCTCCGAGTGTGTGCATCTTTCCGGGGTGCGTTCACCCACTTATTCTTTACCTGGCCTCCACAGGAATTGCGCCAGTACCTGTCCAACCTTGCTGACCAATGCACCAGCGAGAACAACGCTGCAGACATGCCCCTCGTCATCATCCTGGACAACCTGCATCACGTCAGCTCCCTGGGCGAGATCTTCAATGGGCTGCTCAACTGCAAGGACCATAAATGGTAAAGGCCGGTTCCGGGCCTCCTGGCCCCCAGGAAGCCGGCGGCCACATGATGTGTGCTGCGTGGGCACCGTGCTCACGCGGGGGTTGGGGTGGGGGTGGCGGGGGAGGCAACCGGCCACCTGCCTGGACGCTCAGACAACACGGGCTTCTGTGAGCACCTGCTCTGGCTTGGCTTCGAGTCACAGAGCCTTCTTTTCCTTCCTGTCCCCCGCAGCCCTTACATAATTGGCACAATGAACCAGGCTACCTCTTCTACCCCCAACCTGCAGCTTCACCACAACTTCAGGTAAGGGATCACTTTTCGAGGGCCAGCACTGGGTTGGGCGTCGTGCTGGGGATCCTCCCCAGCCTCACTCATTTAATTCTCATGGCAGCGTCACTAGTTTATCTTGCTGGTGGGGGAGACCGGGGCTGAGAGTAATTGATTCCTGTGAGGTCACACAGCTGGCCCGTGGAAGAGCGGAGACAGGAGCCCAGGTCTCCCCGACTCTCCGCCCCGGGGGTGGCAGTGTCAGGATGGCAGCTCTGGGCTTGCGTCCCCTGTGCGTTTCCTGCAACGCGTCTCTCCATCCCTAGTGAACTTGAGCAACGGAAGCTCTTGCTTATGAATGTCCCCTCGTCGCTGGGTCTGTGGGCCTGTGAGTCCCCCGCGAGTCCCTCTGCCCCAGTGCTGTCGTAGGGAGCCGTCCCTGCGGGGGTGCAGGAGGGGCTGTCCAGATCAGTCGTGCGAGGTTGTGTTGCTGCTTGCCTGGGCCCTTACGTGCGGCTGAGAAGCCGCTCTGGGGCCACCCCCCGGCTCCCTTACACTGGCGGCACTGCACGCATCCTAGAGGGCGATCTGTTGGAAGTGGACCTGCATCGTAACCGTCAGAAATGGTGATGCCCCCGGGCCTGACATCATGGCCACCTCTGCATCCAGGCTGTCCTGTCCCGTCCACGCTTTCTCCTCCTGCCCCCAGCACCACCCCGTCTCCCAATACACCGCTGCAATCATTTTGTGGCCAGTGGGCCTGCCTGCAGCTTGGCTCCCTGCAGGCAATCTCCTGTGCCAGCGGCATCCAAGTGAGCATTCTAGAATTCAAATCTGACCATAAAGCCCTCATGCTTTAAAGTCCTTCAGGGGCTCCCCATTGGCTCCAGGATGGAATCAGACTCCTTAGGTGGGCTGGTCAAGTCTAAACACTGAATTACACTGGTTGCTCTGAATCTCTGGCAGTTTCCCACACACCCCACGTACGTGTGCAGATGGTGCAGCATGGCCTGCGGCCCGCACCCCAGCCCCCTTCTGGTCTCAGACATCCCCTCCTCTGAGAAGCCTTTCCTAATTCTCCAGGTTTCATTACGTCTCATTCCTCTGTTTGCTTCTCTGCTTCCTCCGCTGGGCTGTGTGCTTCTAGGGAACAGGGACTGTGTCTTAGTCTTGATTATAGTTCCAGAGGCTGACACAGGGCCTGACTTCCAACACAAGAGGCAACAGCCTTGGTGGTTAGAGCCCAGACACTGGGGCAAGACTGTCCTAGTTCTAATCTTAGCCCTTCTATTAACTAGCTGTTTGATCTCGGGCAAGTTGTGCAACCTGTCTATGCCTCAGCATATCTGTCTGTGAAATGGGCAGTCATAGGGCTGCTGTAATGAATTGGGAGTTCATGTGTGTCCAGCATTAGAGCAGTGTTTGTTGTATAGTGAGGCCTGTCCTATTAACATAGACACTCTCCAGATCTAATGAGCTTTGACTGGGGAGGCTGGTGTCGTTTTTATCAGTCAGCATCATTGAAAATTATCGCTGACTTTCCTCCAGGTGGGTGCTTTGTGCCAACCACACAGAGCCCGTGAAGGGCTTCCTTGGCCGGTTCCTAAGGCGGAAGCTCATGGAAACAGAGATCAGTGGGCGGGTACGGAATGTGGAGCTGGTAAAAATCATTGACTGGATTCCCAAGGTCTGGCATCACCTCAACCGCTTCCTGGAGGCTCACAGCTCCTCGGATGTCACCATAGGTAGGTGGGAGGCTGGGCAGGGGCAGGTGGGTGGCCTGGCTGGGGGACAGGCACTGCTCCTGGAGCTCTGGTGTTCTCAGATGAGTGTCCTCAGGGCCTTGGCCAGGAGAGCACTTTGCAGGCACAAGTCAGCTGGACGCCGCACTGTCCATATGGATGAGAAGGGGACAGAGGGACAGTCACAGCCCAAGGCAGACCCTAGACTGGCAGTCATCTGCGTCCGGTGCTATGTCTCCACCACCCTGCCATCTCGGCCCAGTGCACCAGGGCTGATCAGCAGCAGAGAGGGGCATCCAGCCTTGGCCGTTGCCAAAACTCCTGGCTCAGCAAAGAGCCCCCACGACAAGGCTCCCACAGGAGCAAACCACCCTGCAACACTGGCTTTGCTTTAACAACAAAGTGTTATCAACATTCCTGAAGCTTAGGGTTCAGAGAAAAAAAGGCCACCGGTCATTCCCACATCCTGACGTAATCATCTTAATTTGAGCTTCTGTTTTCTGTGTCTACACAGACGTGCTTCATGTAGTTATGATCCTAGTGTGCACACAGGATGCTCTTTTCACTTTGTCCTAAGAGCAGTCTCCGTTTTTACAGTCCTTTTCAAAGGCTGCAAAATAGGCAAATTCAGGTGTACCGCTGTTTGCTTAACGGTGTCTCTTCTCTTGGACATTTCATGCGCTTCTGTTTCAAAGGTCAGGATTAATAATATTGCATCGAACATCTTTCTCTGTAAAGCCTCTCCTCACTTCTGCGCGATTTTTCTGGGGGAGAGAGATCCCAGGGTGGGGTTAGGGATCCCGAGTGTAATGCCCTGTGCCCACCACCCGACAGTTGGCATTTCTGCTGTCATTCAGAAAGATCACAGGAGCCCTCTGTGGGGTTTGTTCGGAACGTGGCTTCTCTTAACACCCCAATTTCAGCTCTCATTTTTCCCTCTGGTCCCCAGGCCCCCGGCTCTTCCTGTCCTGCCCCATCGATGTGGATGGCTCGAGGGTGTGGTTCACCGACTTGTGGAACTACTCAATTATCCCCTATCTCCTCGAAGCCGTCAGAGAAGGACTCCAGGTGAGGAACACACTTGCTACTGGCCTCCTCAAAATCGGGGGTCATTCGGGTGACCAGATGAGTTGTTCTCATCTCCTCCTCTAGGGGTCTGACGTGGGGTGCCAACGCCTCACCGGCGAAGCCATCAGTCCAGCACAGAGTGGGACACACACTGAGCTGTAAATCCGGGCCCTGCCACTGTTATGTGTGACCCCAGGCAAGTTGTTCAGCCTCTGTGCCACAGTGCCCTCACTGATGGAGGAGGAGAATGATAATCCTCTGCCACGAAGGGATATTGCGAGCACTAAATGCGGTCATGGCCGGCAAGTGCTCAGCACAGTGCACAGGAAATGGAAGCATACCTGTGTGTAGCACTTCACAGTTTGCAAAGTATTCTCCTGTCTGCTGTTTGATTCAAGCCCGGCATTGGTCACGGGACTTGAGTAGAAAACATTTGTTTTTGGGTCTTCATTTTTCAGAAGAGGACAGTCGAGGCTCAAAGGGCATAAACGACTTGCCCAAGAATATAAAAGTGAAACTTGAGGAATCTGGGATTGGAGTCCAGGCCTCTGGCTCGAATTCCAGGTTCTGAGGCCTCTACCCCGTGCACTTATACCTGTCCCAGGACCCCTCCCGGGTGACCCTGGGGCCCACAAGGCTGCAAGTCCTGGCCCTGCCGCGGCAGGAAGGCAACACCCTTTCCTGCTCATTCAGCCCAGCATTGAATGCCAGGGGCTGAGCAGTAAATTGAAGCTTGCAGTGGTGCCCCTGTTGAGCCTGGAGGCCCCTGCAGCTTTCTTGCTGAGTTAACAGCAGGCATCAGGCACAACTGAACCAGCCGTGTCCCCAGGGGCTCCTCGGTGTCCTCCGTACTGGGCAACGGGAGACACAAGGTGCTGTCGTGAGCCTGTGGAGGGTGTGGGAGGGGCACGCCCACATGCACGTGTGGGGTAAAGCCCATTAACGGCTGCGGTCTGTGCTTGTCCCTTCTGTACGTTTGGCTGAGCCTGGCTGCAGCAGCACCTATGGTCTCAGAGGCGTTCAGGACGAAGCCTTGATTCCCGTGATCTGTTAGCACCACACACCCAAGCAGCCACGCAGCCACTCCTATTTTGTGGGGCCCGTAGAAGCATCTTCCTACGTGCTGGATTCCTGACGCCTGTTTCGTTTCAGAAGCCCCTCTCTGTTCTCCATCAGGGGCCTCCGGGGGCTGTGATGTCCCCTGCACCTCTGGGAGACCCGCACTGCTGAAAAGCAGCAGGGGAGTTAGAAGTGGAGGAAGTGTACCGTTTCCTCTTATTCTTGCCTCACCTGTCAGTTGTCCATTTGCTGCTTCTTTGCTCCAAATCTGTCTTGTGATGAGGGATGGGGAGTAACTTCAGAGTGTGCTTGGAAGAACCCATGGGGTCTGTTGGGTAAGGGCCTCCTTTGCCCGAGGAGGCACAAACCAGCAGTGGGAAGGCCGTGCAGCCCCGGACCACATACACATCAGCTGGCCCTTTGTCCTCACCAAGGATGGATATGCCAAGACGCTGCTCCCTTGGACCTGAATTTCAGAGAAGGCCTTCTGGGCATGGCTGTAAAGGTGGAGTCTGAACTCCCTTCCCTTCCTGGAGCTCACTGTGAAGGAGCACTTGGCCTCTTTCCCACCGAAGAGTGAGGAGGCAACAGGTTGAAAGAATTTGGGGACGGCTATAGAACAGTCCATTGGGGCAGGGAACAGAGACATGCCACCATCTGATGGGACTCACCAGTTCAGTATGAGGCAAGAAAAATCGTTGCTTCTCTGTGCTGTGAGGTCTTTTTTTTTTTTTAATTTTTTTTTTTAACGTTTATTTATTTTCAAGACAGAGAGCATGAATGGGGGGAGGGTCAGAGAAAGAGGGAGACACAGAATCGGAAGCAGGCTCCAGGCTCCGAGCTGTCAGCACAGAGCCCGACGCGGGGCTCGAACTCATGAACCACAAGATCATGACCTGAGCCGAAGTCGGACACTCAACCGACTGAGCCACCCAGGTGCCCCTGTGAGGTCATTTAAAAGACAATCTTTTAAGAGTGTGGGAGCTACCAGGGGGAGGCAGCCAGAGTTAGCATTTTCATTTTACCAAATTGCTCAAAAGTGAGCCATCTTGCCTGTGACCTCATCCTGAGGAGCCAAAGGAAAACCCACAGAATCTGCTGGTTCATGAGGAAACCTGGCGTGTTCTTCATGCCTCTGGTTTTGAAGGAAAAGTCTGCTGACGTTTATTGAGGGCCTGCTACTTGCCGGCCACCGTGCGAGGGGCCTGATGTGCACGCTCTCATTTAGTTCTAACAGCTCAGCGAGTATACCTCATAAACGAGACCAGGCTCACAAGAGTTTTTGACTTACCCAGGTTCACACAGTGGGGTATGATGCACCAGCATTAGAGCCGGGTCTGGCTGACCCCTCCATTACTTCTCTGATTTTCAGGCTGTCTCGAGGACCCCCATAACTCCCAGAAGCCTCAGGTGGCTCAGGGAACAAAGTGTTGTGTTTTATACAATGGTTTTCTACGTGAGATGGCATGTGACAAAAGGATTCCTCGATCTTTTTTTTTTTTTTAATTTTTTTAAATGTTTATTTTTGAGAGAGAGCACAAGCAGGGGAAGGGCAGAGAGAGAGAAGACGACACAGAATCTAATGCAGGCTCCAGGCCCTGAGCTGTCCGCACAGAGCCCGATGCGGAGCTCAAACTCATGGGCTGCAAGATCCTGACCTGAACCGAAGTCGGACACTTAACCGACTGAGCCGCCCAGGTGCCCCAAAGATTCCTCTATCTTAAAAAAAATCGTGTTACCTTGAGTCCACGCTTACTGTGTGCTGGGCGCCGTGTGGGGTCATCGGCTCCTCACCTGCCCCTGCAGAGTGAGTGTCATGGCCAGGAGGGAAGTGCGCTGCAGAGTCAGAAGGCTCACAGAGGCCCAGCTTTTAGTTCCCAGTGTCTCGGCCCACAGTTCCTGAGCCAGTGGGCACGGCAGGCTCCTCCCTGCCTTGGGGCAAGTGCATGGCCCATCTGTCTGTCTCTCTTTCCATCTGTCTCTGCTGCTTCCCAGAGCTGCCTCGGGGCTCTGCAGTGGGGCCGAGGAGCTTTTATGATAATTCCTGTGCTTGCCACGGTACTTACCCAACCATTCATCACCTGGTCTTGAACATGTCTAGTGGCAAGTGTGGAGGCTTGTAAAAATATTTTCTGTTCTCGCAGATGATGTTCACATGCGCCTGATGTACATTTGTCTTATGACTCAGTTCCCAGTCCTGTTACCCTTTGGAGCTGTCACTGTTAACATTTGCCAAAGTGTCCCAAGTCTACAGAGCAGCTCAGAAGACCTGCGTCCCTCTGGTGGCCCCGGGGGGGGGGGGGGGGGGGGGGGTGGAGCTTTGGGCCATTTATCAGATGGCCCAATCTGCTCTGAGACCCTGGGCAAGTCTCCTGTCTGTAAGCCTCAGGTTCCCTGTCTGTGATCTGAAAAGCTTAGACTAGAAGTATTTTCTCGTATTTTCTCCAGCGGTCTTCTGTGGAGCCCAGAAGGTGCTCAGATTCCTCGGTGGTGGGGAAGAGTAAATATTTGAAAAACCACTGGGCCATATTATGTCTAAGGGCTTGATGAGCTCCACATCCTGGCCTTTGTTGCTCTGCAGCCCAGAGCCTCTCCTCCTCCAGACTGGCTCCAGAAGTAAGGGTCTGGTTCAGCCTCACCCAGGAGGTCTGGCTTGGGAAAGCTGGTCCAATCCTCCCTTTGGAGGGGGAAGCTTCTAAAAATTGCAGGAATGTTTCTAATCGAGACCAACCTTCTTCAGTTCTGAATACCCCCCACATGCGGGTGTGTTCCCTCCCTCCCCGGCATGCACGCACGTGTACACACGCACTTTCCTTCAAGTGATCCCTTCTCACTCAGACTATGAGTTGCCTTTAGAACACCAGACTGAATGCTCAGGCCCGAGACTCACCATTGCCCCAGGGTTAAGGAAGGTTGAGTGACAGGGTCAGAGCGCTAGACGGGAGGGGTGCTAGCGTCTGAGAAAGCAGTGAGGTCATACGAGGCTGTGTATGTGTGTGCTGAGTACAGAAGGAGCCAGTGGCTGACGGAGAGAGATGGGTAAGCGCATCCGCCCTGCACGCAGGGCGGGCGGCTTCCCGGCAAATCATACGTAAAGGTCACAGGTGCCTTAGGCAATGGTGAGTCAGCCAAGTTGACACGTCCTTGTCTGGTGGACAGTCTGGTCTGCATCTCTCTGCTCTGGGTTTGGCTGAGTCACGTGGCTCTCGCTGATACCGAGGGGTTCAGAGTGGAGTCATTCAGGAGGGCTGGAGAGGGGAAAGGCCCAGACAAGGAAACTGAGGTCCTAGGTCTGATCCAGCTCCGCTCTATAACCTTCCACAGCTGGTGCTTCTGTCTAGGCCCCGACTTCCCCATCCGGTTAATGAGGCTAGGTGACCCCAGTTCCTTCCAGCCGGGGCAACCTATGACTTGTGTAGATGTGGTTTTGTCAGAACTTCAGAGCTCGGCTCTGTTCTGTTAGCCAGTCCTCTCTCCCCTCTCCACTGGGAGAGCAGAGGGAGCAGACAGGCTGGGGGCTGGGTGCAGTTTCACTCCGGTGCCCCCTGCGCCATTGTGGTTCAGGAGTCTTCGGTCTTTATACCCATGGTCCCCTGGAGAAGGGGGCGTCTTCCAGAGCCACAGCCAGCACCACCCTGGGCGAGCACATCTACCCCATCTCCTTAGACTCAGTGCTGCGTGGAGGCGGACAGACTTGGACTCCAGTTCTGCTGTCTTTCCTCCCTGGGCCTGTCCCGTCATCTGGGAGACTCGGTCGTAGGGTCGTCCCTGGGAACCACATGTTAAACAAGATATTCGTAAAGCACCGCTGGCACACCGTAACCTATGAGATGTGGCCGCGGTGCCGGCATTACAGAGAAAGGATGGAGACACCTAGCCGTGCCACATTCAGAGCCCGGCCTTGGGAGGTGCTGCAGCCTGGGCTTCTGTCCTTGAAAGAGTATATGTTTCTCTTGACATTGCTCGTAGAAGTCACTGGAGGGGGCGCCTGCCTGTTAAGCGTCCAACACGCGATTTCGGCTCAGGTCATGATCTCACGGTTCGTGGGATCGAGCCCCACGTCAGGCTCTGCACTGACAGCACGAGGCCTGCTTGGGATTCTCTGCCCCTCCCCTGCTCGCGTGCTTGCTAACACCCACACCCACTCACTCTCCCTAAATAAATAAAGAAATAAACAAACAAATAAATAAAAATTTTTGAAAGTCACTAGAATAGTTGTATCAGTATTTAAGGCTTAAGAAAAGGCCTTGAGTTGCTCATGTAGTTTTCTGTTTTAAGAGCAAATTAGTTGTTAGTTTGGAAGGATACATGAGAGAGAGATTTAAAATTCCAACGCCCGGGGCGCCTGGGTGGCGCAGTCGGTTAAGCGTCTGACTTCAGCCAGGTCACGATCTCGCGGTCCGTGAGTTCGAGCCCCGCGTCAGGCTCTGGGCTGATGGCTCAGAGCCTGGAGCCTGTTTCCGATTCTGTGTCTCCCTTTCTCTCTGCCCCTCCCCCGTTCATGCTCTGTCTCTCTCTGTCCCAAAAAGAAATAAACGTTGAAAAAAAAAAAATTTTTAAATTCCAACGCCCATGTGTAACCTCTGTTAACAGTCTGCTGTTTTGAAAGTGACCAGCGCTGCTATAGAGGGCCTCGGAGAGTCCGACCTGCTTCAGGAAATGGGGTTTTCTCAAACCAGGGCTGTTTGCGACCCCTCCTGTGGTGTTGATACCCAGCACTCGATCTGTGTGGGAGGGCATCTTTGCAGAGGGGTGTACCGAATGGGATACTAGAACCGACCTGTGTGAGCTGATGGTCAGCACCTCCTTCCAACTCCAGGTTCAGTGATACCATACTGGTAGTTTGAAATTGGCCGTAGTAGGTCTATTTATACCACAGAAATTGGCAAACGCTTCAAATTACATGGTGGTCGTTCCCCCACCCCAGGTGGCTACTTTTCAGATTAGGTCAGCAAAGCTTAAAGCTTAGGGTGACACGGTGAGGCAGTGGCAGAGCTAAGAGGTGAACCCAGGTCATCCGAACTCCAAAGTTGGCGCCTTTGACCCCCCCCCCGCCAGGTCATGTTGCCTTCAGTCTTAGTACATCGAGCTGTGTGTGCCTTGGGTGACCTCCTTAAGGTAGAATTCTGGAAGTGGAATTATGCCATCAGGGAAGGCATAACGCTGGGCTTGAGGAGTTTTTCAGATGACTACTATACCAGGCCTACAGAAGAGGTCTCCAGCCACACCCAGACTATTCCTTCTTTGCCTGTTTTCAGCTCTACGGAAGGCGGGCCCCCTGGGAGGATCCTGCCAAGTGGGTGATGGAGACCTACCCCTGGGCAGCCAGCCCACAGCAACACGAGTGGCCCCCCCTGCTGCAACTCCGGCCTGAGGACGTCGGCTTTGATGGCTACTCCATACCTCGGGAAGGGTCCGCGAGCAAGCAGGTGCCCCCCAGTGACGCTGAAGGAGACCCGCTGGTGAGTCCTCCGCTCCCAGAGCACTTACTGTGTATCCGTCATCATGCAAGGCATGCTGGGAATACAGACATGACCGAGCCCGGGTCTTGCTTTGGAAGGCCAGACCCATCCCAAGATTAGTCACATTTTTGCCAATATTTTCTTCCATGGTGTCAGTTTTTCACTGTCCTTTAACCCTCTGAAATGTGTTCTGGTATAAGGTAAAAGGTTAAGAATTTGATCCCCCTCCCCGCAAACATCCCCATACCACTCTTTGCCTTCTGATTTGAGTGCCACCTTTATCAAGTACTGTCCTTCTCCATTTATCTCTCCCCCTAGTAACAGGGCAGAGGCGGGGAGATTCCTAAGGAGCAGAAGCCCAAGCCAACTGATCAGGAGCACAGGCAGGGAGAGGTTTGAAGGCAGGAAGGACTCGCAAAGGACAGGGAGGCCTGAATACGGGTCCCAAGGCCAGTGATATGAGTTAAGCCTTTAACACTGCCTGAGTTTCTTATTTACCCCCACCACTGATAAAGCAAATAAAGGTCCTTTGAGAAGAACCTGGACCAGAGACGATAACACTATAATTACAGTGTTCCCTGCCTATGAGACCCGTACATAGTCCTACTGCGAAATTACATCTAATGAAGCAAAAGCTCCATAAAAGAAGGTGGAAGCACATATCCCAGAGCCTCCCATACTTAAATGACCATTATCATGCCTTCAGTTTACCCTTGAGCTACCTTGGCAGCTAAGGCAAAAGGAAAAACACAGCAGAGAATATTACTTGCATTACTTAATGAAAGAACATATTCATAAGGGATGCAGCAGGATTAAAAGGCAGCTAACGTGTTGTTCTATGCCTGATGACTAACTGATTTGCTAGCTAAAAATAACAATAGCTGCTTTGGCTTGTCTGCCATCCTCCCGACTGGCAGCAAGGAGCTGTGGTCCTGTGGAGACTTTTTAAACAGGACCTCTGTTCTAACTGGTGTTATTATTTGTTATATGCACGACCTCATTTACAGCGTTGATAAACAACAGTGTTGCAGAAGAAAGGATTCGGCTTGAAGAAGCCGTTTCTAACATTAACGATGGCTGAAAGCCAGAGTCATGGCGAGCTTTTTATGGCTGCAGGCTCATGAGATCTTCCCTCAGGAACAGAAGAGAACTTAGGAGATATCTAGAGGAAAGAATGGCTCCCTCATCCCCAGACCCTCTTTTCTTACCCAGGAATATTTGTGTCCCTGATTAAACCTGAGGGGATTTAGGTAAAACCTGGAGCTCTTGGAACAGTTACCCAGAATTCTCCCTCCAACCCCGGGCCCTCAGAAGGGAGTTGGGCCAGCTCCATTCCCCCCACTTTATAGTTGCTGTTTCTCCCTGCCCAGTGCCAGAGATCTCTGTTAGAATAGCTCTCTTGTGTCCTGGTCTCTCTCCCTCATGAGACTGAGACCTCCAAGAGAACAGGACTGACTGGTTTTTGCTCCAGAACACCTGCTGTAAGTGCCGGGGGTCCAGGGGTGGGTTGATGAGTGAGGAATCACGGCCGCAAAGGATCGTCCATGGTGCCACAGCTCCATCTCTTCCCCCCTCGCGGCTTTGCGGGTAGGCACCAGCAGATGGTGTTCCCGTGCCCTGGCTCACCCTAGGACGCCGCACAGCATCCTGAGGGCCAGCTGGCGAGGAAGCAGCTGGATTTCCTGCCCAGCTGCATCACGTCCTGGCCTTAGCTCAGAGAGACGCTACTTTCTAACTTACTTGCTACATAGAACATAAAATACCCAATTGACAGTTGCAAGTAAGTTTCCGGTTCCCCCCTTCACTCCTAAACAAATGACCAATAGAGTATAGAGCAGGGAAGGTTGGAGGAACACCCTTCAAGCTCTTTAAGGCAAAGGATGGCACTTGCAGATCTCGTTTATTGAGCACTTAACCAGGCGCCAGGCCCTATTCTGACGGTCTGATGCACATCACGTCATCTTGTTCCCTATTTCAACCCTCTGAGATACAGGCGCTATTGTTCTCTCCACTCTATCGATGAGGAATTGGTGGCTCAGGTATCTTAGGTAATTGTTCGGAGTTCTCTGACTTGGAATCCAGGTTTCTGTGTGCCTTGTGGCTCTGCTTGTAACCGGTGCTGACCTTTCTCTCCCGTGGCGGCCTTGACAGGAGCGGGCACACGGCCGGCTCTGGGCTGCCCTCTGGCCAGAGCCAGATGCACCCATGGGCTGGATGCTCCCTGAATGGGGAGCCGTGTGCGTCATATGTCAGCAGCAGGGACGCTGGACTGGCATCTTTATCCAGTTTGAGGCCCGTGTTTGAGTAAAGTGTGTCCCTTCCAAATAAAAAATAAATCCTGTATTCATAGACGACTTCCTATTTTGTTTTCTGTGCTCTACATATGTGAACTCAATCCACACCATAACGTTGTGGGACAGGTACGATTATTGTTCGCCTGTGGCCAGTGAAGAAACTAAGGCACAAAAAAGGTTAAGTAACTTACCCATGCTTATGCAACTAGTAAGTGGTAAAGACAGGATTTGAACCCTGGAAGCCTGGCCCATAGCCCACACCTGTGTCCACAGCCCCCACTATAGGCGGCAACCCGGAGCGAGTGTGGAGGGGGGTAGCGTGAGCTTGGAAAAGGCCAGAGGTGGGCAGCTGCCAGACTGAAAGCTGCTCATGCTCTCCCTCTCTCCCCAGATGAACATGCTGATGAGGCTGCAGGAGGCGGCCAACTACTCCAGCCCCCAGAGCTATGACAGCGACTCCAACAGCAACAGCCATCACGATGATATCCTGGACTCGTCCCTAGAGTCTACTCTGTGACGGGGGCCAGCCATGGAGCCCGCCCACCTCCCCCGGTCCTTGCCCTGCTCCACCTGCGTCCCCTGCACCATCCTGAACATGCCCTCCTGAGCCAGCCCCCCGGCCGCAGCGTGAGAGCTGCAGGGATACCCAGACCCCTCATCCTCCAGCCTTGGCCCCGGGTGCAGGCCTCCCGGGCCGGCCGCCTTGGGACCGCTTCCTTCCACAGTGAGAACTGCACTATCTTCCGTTTATTTTAATTATCGTTTGCCTTGTTGCTGTGACCTCCCTAAGACACTGAAGACACTTCTCGGGAAAGGATCGTCACCGTTGAAATGAAAAGATTATAAAAGGAAAAAAAAAAAAAAA